ATTCCTATGTATTTACATATCTAACCCCAAAACTTTTACTTTTTTTACATTTATACAATGCAAGTATTTCATATAACATAAGTAATCACTCTTTTAACTTCTTGAAAGTAAAATACATTTTCATGCATGGTTAAGCTAGCATATATGTAAAAAATGAAGTTTAGGTGTCAAGGATTTAAATGCATAGGAATTGAGTGTTATTGTATAACAAAATTACTTTTGATTGAATTTTCGATGGATTTGATGGTTTGAAACAAGACTCGTGTCAAAAAAATGAATCTCAAGCTAGTGCGTGGGCATCAAAAGCAAGGATAATTAAGCGGTTGCAGTCGCTCCATCAGAGGCTGGTCGATTAAGAATCGACCCACCATAGGTCAACCGTCTGAGAGGTCGGCCGATCAAAAGCCGGCTGATAAAAAGATGACCTCCCAGAGGTCGATCAATCTGGAACTGACGGACCCAAAATTGATTGATCAGACAGATGATTGATTCTAACTTTCTATAAATGAAGAAAACATTAAATGTAAAAGCTCTCTCTGAATATCTCTCTCTTCATTTACACTCTATTCTTTGGATCAATGAATAAAAATTAAGAAAAGAAGGCTAATAAAATTCATTTAACTTTTTTTTTATTAAATTCAAGCTTTAAACTAAAAATAATAATAATAATTCAAACATGTTATTCTATGAATACGCATTTATGTTTTTCTATTTAAATTTTCCAAAATTTATTTTCATTCATAATTGTATTTTTCTCTCTAAAAAATTAATCTAATAAAATAAATTCTTTAATTTTTTTAATTAAAATAGAAGCTATATTTTACAAGTTTGTAAAAAAAAAACAAAATAAAACTTAAATCACAATACAATATAAAATGTTTTTAACAAAGTTTTATTTTTTCATAACCGAATGTTAATTCCTCATATATAGAAGTTTACCATCAAATAATTCAAATTCTATTATCTTCACGGTAACAGACTGGATGTTGAATCCAAAAGTGTCTAGAAAACACACCTAAAGTATAGAACGTCGCACCAGAAAAAGAGAAAGAAGAGTACGTAAAGAATGGGCCTTAGTTTTATAAAATTATAGATCTGCCTCTTCATCAGTAACTTTTAGAGGGTTCATTTAGTAAATCACAAGAACATTTGAATATAGTAAGGCTGGTTGATTTATCTGAACTGTGACTAACTCGACTCCTCGTCCCACCTTGACTGTCGATTCTTGATCCGAATTTGGATTATCTGACTACTGGTTTGAAGAAAACCGACATTCGTTCCGAAGGGCGAGATCATTTGATGTGCTTATTGGCATCTTACACTTTCCCCGTCAGCTTCTGATCCGTCGATCGTTAGATAACTGTTCGCTCGCTGTCAATTGTTGTAAACAACCGATTAAGCGATCGATCATCCCCTTCCTTCTGAACCGTCTGACTGTATTGAGATTCGTGTCGACGTATTTTGTATCACATAAAAAAATCATTAATTATAATCGACTCTGGCTCGATTACAGCCGATGGCAAGTGGCGCACGCAGGAGCCGCTGATGAGTTGGAGGGGAATTAGTATGATCTTTCAGCTGG